CGGGGCCGGCCCGGCCGGGGCGCTGCGGTGACGGGGCGCTGGGGCACCGTCCGGGCCGGGGTGGTGCTGGAACGGGCCCGGGAACAGCCCGGATTCCCGGCCCGGGGAGCGAGGCCTGTGCCTCAGGAACGAATCGCTCCTTCCCTGCTCCCCTGGGGGCAACGGCTGCAGCTGCGCGGGTTGATGGTGGCGAGGGCGGGAGCGTAGGGAGCGAAGGATCTTCCTGCCCTGTCCCCTGTTCAGCTGAGGGAGGTCAGAAAGTCTCTGAGCTGCGCAGGCTTCTGGAGCCGGGCTCCTGTCCCTGTCGTGGTTCCTGGCGTGGCCTCTGGGTGCTCCCATAACACAGCACTCGGTGCGCTCTGTGCTCCTGGGGACGTGAGGAGAGGTTTTCCCGTGTTCCTGAACCGATTCAGGAGCACAGTAAGGGGATAAAACGTGCTACATCTAGAGCCGTCGCTTCAGGTGCTCCTGTGGGCGCCCCGATACCTTCAGGTGCACAGAAGTGTCATAGGTTTCTTTAATATGACAACTTGCCTATACACACACACACACAAGATATTACGTAAACATCTTCTGTTATATAAACATCTTGTGGCAAGATGTCACATAAAATGCTGCTGCTGCTGCCAGCCAGGACTATTTAAAGTGATAAATCTATATTTTACCAGCTTGCTGTGCTCTTGAATCAAGAGAGAAATGAAGATGGGTACAGCATCAAGATGTATGTAACATCTCAAATCAAGACGTTTATATAACATCTTTTAGCTCTTATCTTTTCTGCAGTTTTTGTAAGTCTTTAAAACACCTGCATCTCTTGACCTCTTCTTCTTCAGTCCTGTTGCATTTTGTCCCTGATTTTGGTGTGTTCTGCAGGGTATGATTTTGTCAGCTCCTGCAAATGGAGCTGAGCAAGGCAATGTACATGGAACAACTCCACAGATGATCTAGTAAGCAGCACTCCTGTATCCAGCTGGCTCCATGTTCTGGAAGGGCATTCTTTCAGAGAAATCTAATGCCCAATGCTTTTCTTCTTCATTTTGACTCAGTGTTTTTCTAGCAGGCAAAAGAGGTTGCCATAGTGGTATACTTCTGTACATAGATCTTTAAGAACCCCTAAGGCACAAGTTTTCAAATGCATGTTCAGTGCTAATCTACAGATACTCTTCAGACAGCAGAATCATGTAATCCTTTATCCATTCTGTCTTTCACATGTAGTTAATTGGTTTTAACATTAGGAAAGAAGCTTGGGATCCCATCATGCAGGTTTTGGTTTTTTTTCTTTGTGTGATCCCGAATCCTAATTCTGCCATGTTAGTTGCATTTTAGGATGAACAAATTTGGTCTTCTCTAAATTCCCCTTGGGAAGCCTGCTCTGCTTTGTGGCGTACTGATGTTCTCTCTTAATGGTGCTCAACTTCTTGTTTAGTATTTGTGTAGCACTTTGATTATACAAAGTGAAACAAAGCTTTCAGAGCTAAACTATATCCACTTTTTTTTAATATATATTTGTGTGGGGAAGAATGATCATGCAGCAGTGACAGCTAGGTTGGTGTTAGCCTCGAGAAGGCAGTTTATATTTTTAGTACGTTGAAAGCAAAAATACTGGCTGCTTATGCACGTTAGTATTTTTGATCTAACCTGCCCTTATGCTGTTAGCAATGGTGGGAAGTTTTTTTAGAATTTTTTGAATGTGCCATTAGAAGGATGGATGCAGTAGAGTCAGTACACACAATTACTTGTTTTTCATATAGATTTGGCAAGGTCTTCCACAAAATGCTGTTATGGGAACTATATAGCCATGGGAGTTAAGAGAGGCCTTACAGTGGATCAGAAATCTCTTTTCTCTCTTGGATAGGGTAAGGGGCAAAAAGTTTGGGTTTTCTTAATGATTTGGAAGAAGGGAGGAGGAGAAAGCAGTATCTGTAGCTGGCACAAAAATGTTTAGGGTTATAAAGACAAAAAATACTCAGCAAGGAACTTACTTAAGCTAGAGGAACTGTCAATGTGATTAAGAAACTGATCAGTGTTGATAAACTGAAGTAACCTGCATTGTGCAGGGTAGCTTGAGCTGCTTGTTTGGTTTATGTTGTTTTTTAATTCAACTGTAAAGCAAGAAAAAAGACTGGGCAGTTCTGTAATCTGTGAAGATTACTGAAGTCTCTGGAGCAGTAATTTAAAAAGGAAACAGTCTGGATAAGGATGAGGTGGCAAATACATTGCAATGCCGTTATATTAATCAGTGCTCAAAGTGTTTGAGTATGTATTTGGTAATGGCTGCTCTGTCTCAAGAGCAAATATTAGAGCAAGAGTTTGGTAAAGAAATTATTTGAATGTGGAAAATCCTAGGAGGAAAAACTGAAACGATGATGTCAGAAGATAAGAATAGTGAAACAGCCATAGGAAATACTGCAAAATACAGAGAAGACAGTTTCTTGTTACCTTTTCTCATAATACAGAAGCTTGTAGAGAAGTTTGACCTTTAGTTGTATAACCTAAGTGACCTCAGATTCAAAGGTGATCCC